TCGAGAAAACCAGGTCCAGAGTGTGTCCACGTTCATGGGTCGGGCCTGTAATAAGTTATTAGTTATTAACTTATTGGTTTACAATTCCTAATGTCTATGAAAATAAAAGGGAATAAGGTCATATCAAAGCCACAGTTAACATTTTAAGGTAGCTCTAATTAACTTTATTAAAAATTGGCATGCACACATGCACACACAAACATACTCACCTCTGTGGGAAAGAAGTATAAACTGTTAAATGACAGGTTAAGGTACACCAAAAATTCAGCCAGAGGTGAAAGGTCTGGAAGTTGATTCAGAAAATATGCCTAAAGGGAAATCAGCACGGTTATATTAGAAATTAATATAATTGCTCATTTCCTGGAAATATGGAGCCATATTTCCAATAAATGAACTGCTATAAGAAAGAGGTTTTCTGGACACGAATATCTGTGGCTTCAGGACATGAATATCTGTGTAAATCTGTTCCATAAATACGTTGAAGTGTTTTGGGGATAATTGCTGGATGCACTGTCCCAGCAAATACGAGCAATGGCTTTATTTGCCAAAATAGTCAATGACTTTGTCCTCTTTCTCTTACCTTTTGGAGACAAGATGTGTCTCACCTTATACATTTTTTGCCAATTGTACTTAAGGCCCAAAGTAGACATGGGGCAAGTCTGTGGGTAACATGACACATGGTTTTGTTTACTGATTAACAGCCCCAGGAGAGGGCTTTTGAAAATGGAAAAGTGTGCTCCAAGAAAGGGCATTTAACGCATTCCCCCACCTCTAAATAACCCCCCAAGTTGTAATAGTAGTTGCAGGGGAAGGAGAAGAGAAATTTATATCAGAAAAAGGCCATGAAAGATAAGCAACTCTCCTGCAGCATAATTTCTCCAACCTTCAAAGAAATTCTATGGAACAGTCAGCAATAAATAACAAAATCTCATGGCATCTTTAATCCCCCCTTCCTATCTATGGGCAATCCTCAGAGAGTAAGATGTGAGAAATGAAAAATTACTGTTACTAAGTGGTAAGGTGAAAACCAAAGAAAGGGTGAAATACAGGGCTAGGGTAGGATCATTGAAGTTCCTTAAGGCCAAAAGGCCTGAGGATAGAACCATGTAAATAGTTGTACTAAAAGTAATAGTGTTTCTTACATCAAAGTCCTGAAAAATACCAGAGAGGGTAAAATTGGAGGGCAGTGGTAAAACTGTCACCTTTTGTGGAAGGAAGTAGGAAATTGTTTGCCTTTTCCAACTGGCTGTAATGAGCCTGGAGGAAGGCCTGTTCTTCCTATCTCATCCTCCCACAAGATTTAGGAAACAAGTTGGCATCAAGTGAGAGGCTACAAGGCCAAGCTGACCTGTTGAACTTTTAGAAGGTAGTGCGCATGCTTAATAGGTGCATGAATAGTAACTGACACACCTCTCATAGGTAATGGGCTCATTAGCATGAACATGGGATGTATGAGCGGGAGGGGGAACATATCGAGGGATAGTATGATGTAGGCGAACGGAGAAGATTGTGACTTCTTAGTAACCCAGCCAATGGGAGAAAAGCGGTAGGGTCTGCGAGCCGGGAAAAGGGAATAAAAAGCAATGCCTTGTGTGTAAACGGCACGCTGCCTGTGTGGTGGGCGCCCGCTCTTGCAAGAACGTATTAAACTATTACTGCTTGGTACTTTGCCTTGTATCCTCACCACTGGGATTTCATTTCCTACAAAGACATCACATGTTTCTTCTAGTACAAACAGTTTTCCAATATCCATTCGCTCCAAATGCCCTTTCACAGTTCCTTGACAAAAAATTGTGGGGGAGGGGGATTCTAAGCAACCAGAGCAAAGCATGTGCATTAAACCATGAGCCCAATTTACATAGTGTTCTGATAACAGGGTCTCATTCTTGCACACATGTGCACACCCCCATACATCAAGTTTCCCCAACCTAGCACCTGCCTAATCCTAATGCATTGGACTACAACTCCCATCACTCCCAGCCACCATGGAAAGCTACTTTGTGCACTTGGGATCTTGTGTGAAAGAGATTTCTGTTCCGCCATTCACTGAAAGGAACACAGAAATGCAGCCCTGCAGATCTGTTTTATTTCTAGGTAAGCCCATTTGAGAGCAACGGTGGTATACTGGAAGGTGCTGGTTGTTGATGGGGAAACATGATCTTCATATTTCCACCCTACTACACTGCTCCTGGGAGGTGACTTTAGGCAAGTCTTGCAATCTAATTTATCTTGGAGGGGTATTGTAAGGATAAAATGGAAAAGGGGATAAGAGAATGAATGGCCCATTGGTTTACTAGTGTGAGAGTAGAGGGTCAAGGACAACACACTTGTGCTTTTAGGGAAAGTACCTTAAGGCTAAGCCCAGTTCTTTTACATGCCAGGCAAAAGAGAGCTGCCCTTTCAGCCTTTGTCTTCAAATCACTTTCCATTTCCTCTTCACTTAATTGAGGCTTGTAGCCAATGCCAGAGACAAGAGTTGCAGAAAAACCCATTTCCATTTCTGGTTCTGCAACAAACATAACACGGTGGGCAAGTGAGGAAGGGTTGTAGTTTTTCTTCAAAGTACCAACATTTACAACAGAAGTTAAAGAGAAAAAAAACTTGCCATGTAACACCCATGGGGAACAAGACAGCAAAGGGTAACAGGTGCTCCCTCAAAGTATTACCCATAACCTCATTTGCTCCCCAGCTTTTAGTCACAGAACATTAAGCGCATACATAGTGTGGATTACATACTTGCTTTCCTAATTATAATCTTTGCTAATCCTTTATTGCCAGGCCTGTAATGTTTTCTAGAGTTGTCCTTGCTAACAGGTTAATAATTGTCTCTATTCCACACAGAGATTAGCAAGGTCTGCATCAGTCTCAGTGATGCTACATTAGCCAACAATGCCCACAAGCCTCTTTTCTGTTATCTACAGGTGAGCATGTCTTGCTAAGCTGCTACTTAGCTCAGCATATACTAAGCACCAGCCTTTCCCTATTGGTCTGTTGCTTCTATCAGCAACATATACCAAAGGGCTGCCTGAATAAAAATGCCTTTGCCTGGCAAAGGAAGGACAGCACAGAAAACATTACCCTTGCTTCCCTCTGTGGGAAGTTGCAGAGCCTAGGAGCAGCCCCTGAGAAGGCTCTCTCTTATGTCCCCACCAAAAAGCCCTCTGAGGGTGGTGGGCAAGGGCAAAGGGCCTCTCCAGAAGATCTTAAACCTGGGCAGCTTAGTCCAGGGGTCCTCAAACTTTTTGAATAGGAGGCCAGTTGAAAGGCTGTGGTGAGGTGGAGGTGCCTGGGGGTGCAGGCGCGTGCGAGGTGGCATCAGGCGCGTGCTCGCTCGCTTGGAAAGCAAGCCACCACCCACCGCTCGCGCATACAGGAGGCAGGCGGCAGCTTACTGGCTTGGAGATCATCTCCGAGTGAGCAAGCCACCGCCTCCCTGCCTGCGCAGCAAGCGCGGGCGGAGAACTGCGGCATGGGCCGGATGGATGGCCATGGTGGGCCAGATCCGTCCCTTGGGCCGTAGTTTGGGGACCTATGCTTTAGTCCTTTTCATCTGGACCTGTAGAAGTTTCACAGCAGTTTTCAAAGTCAGCCTCACATAGTGTGCATTACAGTAGTCCAAATGGGATGTGGCTAAGGCATCCATGATGGTGGTCACATCAACAATCTCCAGGAACTCGAACCACAGCTTGTTGCCAACACAGCTGGGCTGTGGCTGAAGCCTGGGCATTCAGGTTTCAGGACTGAATCCAGTAGAGTACCATTCTATGCCAGCAGTGCTCTTCTGCATGAGACACTCAGGATTCTCACTTTATGGAAGAGCTCTACACACACACTCGTACATCAGTGTGAATCTAAGTCCCTTTCTCATGTTCACTGAATGTGTGGCTGCATGGTTTGCAGACCCTTCAGACTTACTTTACATGCATGGGGTGGGGTGGGGGGGGTGCATGTTATCTGTACTCCCCTTGCATTTCCAACATCCGCAAAATATTCTGTATTTGTGGAGGATTTGTGATTGAGGGTTTGCTTCACTATATCCTGGTGTGCATGTTTCCTCCAAGGCAAAGAGTTCTATCACACATTATGTAGGAATGTGATGATGCACTGTGTATATTTAAAATGTAGTTTATTTGTATGGAGGCAAAACATGTGTAACCTAAAACGCTGTGGGGGGTGAGTTTCCAGTAGCTGCTGCTACATTTAGTAAAGTGTTTGTGAATCCAGCACTAGTGATTGGTATGGTGTTTAACATGGGATTAGGACAGTTTGCAGAAAGTTTGCATGTCATTGTTTTTTGCTTTATTTATTTATTTAAAGTATTTATATGCCATCCTGTCGCGAAAGTCTCAGGACGGCTCACATAGCCATGTATGTGTATGTGTACAATGTTATGGCTTTTAAAGTAATAACAATAACATATATGCACACACAAACACACACATATATGTACATACTACATATAATTTTTTTACCTGCATACGTCACTCTTTTCTTTTTTTTCTTTTTACTATCCTCAGGCAGGATGCCCTCTTCTAGCATCTTTTCTGAAAAATCAAATAAGGGTAGATTTTTCATGTGAGAGATCAGTATTTTTAGATTCTCCTTGCAAAATAGCCATGCTCTTTGGAATCTGTCTTCATTTTGGCTCCATTTCAGCTTTTAGAAGTAGCTACTGTACTTTGACCTGGTTCATGCATCACTGCAGGCCAATGTGGCTTAAATAGCTCCTAGTGTGTTACAGAGTGTGTTGGGCAGATTTTGCATATTCAGGCCTTGTCCAGGGCTTGTCACTGCTCTGCTAGTGCTCACTGCAGTCCACCACCCTGGTGTGCCCCACAGTTCATTGGGCAGTAGCATCACGGATCTTGATGCCTCTGACAGCAGCTCCCAAATGCTGCTTGGTCACTTTGAGGGAAGCTGTCAGTGTTGTGACACCCTTCCTAAATGAGGGTGCTGCTGCTGGGTCCTCTGGGATACCTGTAGGAAGAAGAAGAGGGGAGGAGCTGCTACTCTCAATCTGCCTGATCTACTGTCAGGTACTTCCTGTGGTCTGGAGCTTTTCAATGCACACTGTGTGGCTTATGCTACAGCATGGGTTAAAGTGTCAGCTAGCACAAGCTACTTCCAAGGCTTGTAGCAGGGACCACTAAGAGTTCCTTGAATGGAACAGCAAGATACAAATGTGATAAATAAATCTACCTGAGAGTGGGAACCATCAAGCCTGCAGAAATGTAGAGAAGTATTTTTCACCTCTCTGTTTACTCTTCATTGTATCTCTAATAGTCAAATGTTATACCTGTGTCAAAAGATCTTGTGGCAAATGCAGGAAGAACTGAACACCTCACTATCAAAGTGGAATGAAGGACAATTATATTAGGAAGAAAGCTATGAGCAAAGTTTCTCTGTTTGATGGAGATCACAAACTTAGGAACTTTACAGTGAAAGGCTACTCAAGGGAAATGTCATTGTGCTGAGCTCAGTGAGACTTATTCCTAGTAAAGATGTATAACATGACACTTTAAGAAATCTACTTCTAAGAGATTTCTTACACCTAACATTTTGGCCCCAAACATTAAACTTTAATGCTTTAGGCTGGTTTCCTTCATTAACCAAATATAGATCAGTACAATCTATACTGTAGATTTTGTATTAGAATGGAGTCTGTGTGGAAAAGATTTAAAATGAGGAAATCATCTGTGGAAGTCACAGGAACAATTATCCCACTTTAGTATGACTGGAATATTTTCAAATAGCAAGAAAAATAATTTTCTGGCATGCCCTTGGAATCAAATTCAGTGCACCCATCAAAATTCTCAGCTGGCTTAGAATGTATAGCAGGCTTTTGAGGGTGGCATTAACTGAACACTATTAAAATAAACTGTAGAAGAGTTTACATAAATACAGTGCATAAAACAGGACTCATAATAAAGAAGTGCACAATACCTATCAGCCTCTGTCTCTCAGGTTTTCTTAGTTCAACATCAGACAAATACTCATCCAATGACAGCAGTATGGTACTGACTTCTTTTGGACCTCGTCTCTCTTCAGCAGCCAGCTGGCTAGTGAGTACTTCATAGTTGCAACGGGAAACCATTGGTTTTACAATTGCAGATTTCAGAGAACCATGATGAAGAGAGGCAACCATGGCCAGACCCTGCAGTGTAAAATCTGATTGTAAATGCAACGGGTGCCTTCCCATTACTGGAATTCGCAACCGAATGGGAGTACGACGTTTTTGCATTGGGAAGCTGGGAGGACCACTAGGCTGCAGTGGAATAATGAAGTTTCTTTTAAGAGGGGCTGGAACTTGGATTCCAGAGTCATAGTCTGGAAAACACAAATATATTTGTTGGCTCTTTTCCGATGTTGAAAGTTGGACCTTATCAGCTCCAAGGATTTCTTTGGACTTGTCCTCACTTGCACCTATTTTTTAGGGTGAAAAATGGTAGACACCAATAAATAAATAGATAAATATGAGAGAGAGAGAGAGAGAGAGAGAGAGAGAGAGAGAGAGAGAGAGAGAGCACAGCATTAGGACATTAAAAGTTACAACCAATGTTTGCTTAATTTTTATATTGTAGAAAAAATACAAATACAAAAGAATCAACTTGACCTTGAAGACTGAGTTTGCTTGCTGAAGAAACACATATACAAACAGGAAGCAAGTGAGAGAGAACATGCAATGGATCACAAAAGATATTTGTTTGTCATCTCAGCTCAGGCAGTGCATCAAAAAAAGTAAACTATCATCTGCCCTCCAGATGTTTTGGAACAAAATTCCCATAAGACTCAGTCCACTTGGCCAGCTGCTCGGGATTTGTTGAGGCTTGTACTACAAAACATTTGGATGGGACCAGGTTGCCCATGCCTGGAGTAAAGTTTAAGGCATTTAAAGAACATTAAGTCATGGAAAAAATGTGGAGTGGGGAGAGCAGCCATGAAAAAATGTTGGAATTTTGAAGAAAAGGAAGTGGCACATGATAGCAGATGAGAGAGCGCACAAGGGATGAAAGGAGGTGGCAGGAAATAGGCTTCTCTGTCAGAGAAGCTGTTGAGCTTTGCAGCCCTGCAGCCAAAACCGCTCTGCTCTTGGACAGGACTGTTGAGACAAGGCTGCCAACAATCCAGATGTGCTGCTGAGGATCACCATGGCCCAGAACACCACCCGTTCCAGTGTGTGCATGCAGAATGAGGCTACAGTGCTGTGGAACTGAGATGATGGTGACACAGCACTTATGGGCTGATTGAGAGCTGCATGTATGTCTGCAGTTGCAATCATAAACCTACTTAGAAGGGAATGAGCCCCACTAAATAACATGGGACTTATGTAAGCATGCTTTCTGGTATTCCACATACATCATTACCAGTGTCTCATGATCCAGTCCATGGTCATAGCCTCCACCCCAGTTTACATGCCAGCTTTTGGAGAAACTGAGAACTACAAATGTTGGTTAATTACATGCGCAATCTTGAAACTGTGTCACATCACCTTTGTGGTGTTTCCTCCTTGGTAAAAGTAGTTCAGTTTCCACCTTTGGAGGTAAAGGTCTTCGAAGAAGTTTAAGTTCAAACATGGTCCTTAGTTTTGGATCCTGCTGCAAAACTGGGAAGTGAGGGAAATAAAATGATTTAACTGCAAAAAGACATGGGGGTGGGTGAGAATAGGAATGTTCAGCCTGACTGAACAGCTAGTTCAGTGGTGGCGAACTATGGCACACATGCCACAGTGGGCATGCAGAGCCCTCTCTGTTCGCATGTGAGCCAAGTTGCCCCAGCATCGCCCCAGCAGCCGAGCATCGGATAACAGCGCACATAGGGGCCACGTGCATGCTCGGAAAGGAGTAGCGGCACCAGGTGATGATGTCACGAGCCTCAACTCATTAGCCGTGACTCGTCCGAGCTTTCGCATAGCCGGTCAGTGTGCTGCCAAGGATTGCTTGGACTGGCTGTGAGTTTTAATACATTCATTTTTATTAACACAAGATTTTAGCTTTGAGTTTTCTTTTGAAAAATTGAAATTTAATATCTAAGATTTAGCAAAGAGAATAAAAAGCTGTTTGTATCATTGAAAACTCTGTTATTGTATTTTTCTTTTAAGACAAAAGATGTTAATGTATGAGTTGTTTTTTCTAAACTAAAACCTCAGTATTCAGGTTTTATTGCAGTGTTGGCACTTCGCAATAAATAAGTGGGTTTGGAGTTGCAGTTTGGGCACTCAGTCTCTAAAAGGTTCGCCATCACTGAGCTAGTTAAACAAAGAGGGCATACCAAGATACAATAGTTCAATTTTATAAAATGCCTTGGACTCAAAATGCCACCCCTGCCCATCTCCTTCTTTCTAGGACCCTCCACTATATGTCCCTTTACCCAGCAGTCACTCTCTGCTGAGTTTGTGAAGAGTGTGCCTCCATCCCTCTGTACTGCATAGAAACCTGTGACTGAACAGATGGTTTTGGCAGGATGGCTTTTCTACTTTCACACCTGTGAGGTGCCCCCTTTTGCCCTCCTCCAGCCACACACGGATCTTTAGCTTGGAGCATGAAACATTCCAGTGCCCTGTCCCCATGATAAAGTACATCTTGAGAGAGGTTTGGCTGTTCAGTCAGGAGAGAAATGAAGGTTCCCCACACACCACTCTTTTCAGTTTCAGCTCATCTGGCTGTGTAGTTTTTAAAATCCTGTCCATACCCCACTTTTCTTGCACAGAACACATGTTGGCATACATACAGTGTGGTAGCGGAGCTGGGTGCTTCAGGGTGAAAGTGCTGGGACTTTTTGATTATCAGGGGCCACCATCCCCTCAGACTTTCCCGAAGCTGCTGTCCTCACTGGAGCTGTGGGAAAATGGGTTTATGGTTGTGAGTTACACTGGTATATAAATTTTGGGAAATTATCAACCTCTAAGATAAAATGTGCTAATTTTTACATATTTTGATTAGATGAGTTAGAAAACAGGTGATAAAGATGCTGGTTGGCTAAAGTTTTCAAGATAATTCACAATAAAGATTTGTACACATTTGCCTACAAGGGAGGGAGGTGTCCGATGATCATGATGCCTCATAACTTTTCAACTAAGTATGGTACAACAATGAAAATGGTACCACATGGAAGCGTATACATTTATCTTCACTTTGAGACTAAAAATTAACTATAATTTATTGTTCTTTTATCGCAAGGTACATTTGTCTTGGTCAGATCTATCCCTCATACAGTTACATCTGGTGTCTTGTGAAAGTGTCATTGCCTAACATTTCCAAGGAACAGTTGTGTGATATTTTCCCTCAGAAAACAAGATGCCTCAAAACTATGTAAACAATGCAGATAACTTCTGCTACGTTTGTGCCGAGGTTACATTTGCATCTCAAAAATGCTGTATGACGGCAGTGGTAAAAAGAGGCATACCACCTGTATTTTGGATGCAAAATAGGGGATCAGGACAAGAGTTGGGCCCCTCATTATTGTTGTATTACATGTGCAACTTATCTGCATCATTGGCTAAACAAGAAGAAAAAGCCCATGCCTTTTGCAGTCCCGATGGTGTGGAGGGAACCCACCAATCATAGTAGCGACTGCTATTTTTGCATGGTTCCCCCAATTGCAAAAGGGATCTCAAGAAAGAAGTGGACCATGGAATATTCAAAAATTCTATCTGCACTGTGTCCTGTACCCCAATTGGCAAGTGAGGACTTGCCAATTCCAGATCCACCAGAATCCTACTTTCTAGACTCAGATGATGATAAAGACGATAAGCAGGTTGCAACTGGTCTGGGGCAATCAATGTCACGTTACATGAAAAACCAGTAGATGAATGGAAAGTTATGTTATTGGTATCAGTGAAAAGATAAATGTATAATGATTGGTGTGGCACCGTTCTCATTGCTGTATCACATTTTGCAGAAAAGTTATGGACCATATTCACACATCCCCCTCATAATTTTGAATTACTTTGATGCAATTTTGACCTGAAGCTGTATCTTGGAAACTGGAGCCAATTAATACTCAGGACTTAATTTTCCTGTATTAGTGACCCAATACTGGTAAAATTTAGCTACTTTCATTTCTGAGGCTTTCTCCTTGTAGACCAGTGTTATCAAACATGCTGTCTGAAGCCAGCCAAAATAACAAACTGCAGTGAAAAACCCACAGTGCCCAACTCTATATGGATTAACTTTATGGTTTGTGGCTTGTGACCACAGCTGGTTTTAGACACAAGTTCAACAACAGCCCACAGTTCAACCACAACCCACACTCTACCCTTCAGTGTAGATTGTCATGCTCTCCAAGCCCAGTTTGTGCACGTGGCCTGCATTTTCAGGCACAGTGGCTTAAATAGTTTGTAGTACATGCAAAGAACTAATGGGCACCCAATTAGTATCCAAATACCCACTCATAGGCTGTTGTATTGTGCAAATCTAGTAAGAGAGGTTTGTTGGCAAGCCACCTCCAGTGTTAAAACTGGTGTACCATGCACCCTCCTGCCCCATAGATTTCCTGCCTGAGCTGACATATATTCTCATATAATGCCAGTCCTCTACCAGCTTCACTGGCTACCAGTTGAAGTCTGGGCCCAATTCAAGGTGCTGGTTATGACCTATAAAGCCCTGAATGGCTTGGGACCAGGATACCTGAAGGAACGTCTCCTTCCTTATATGCCTTCACACCCCTTAAGATCTGTGGGAGAGACCCTGCTCCAGGAACCCTCCCTGAAGAAGGTAAGAAGGACATCTACTCGGAGTAGGGCCTTCTCTGCGGTGGTGCCCAGATTGTGGAATGCGCTCCCCAGAGAGGTTTGCCTGGCACTGAGCCTATATTCTTTTTGGCGCCAGCTCAAAACCTTTTTATTCAAACATTATTTTAAAAATTAGTATTTTAATGGTTTTAACAGTTACTTTTGATTTGGTTTTTTTGGTTATTATATTGCGGTATTGATTGTTTTTATTGGATTTTGATTTTAATGTTGTAAGCCATCTTGAGATGTTATACATGAAGGACAGCATATAAATATTTTGAATAAATAAAACAGCTCATGGGTTTTGGGTAATGTGTTAATTATGCTAACAACTCATTCTCACCAGGTTGGGATAACACAACAACCTACAAATGGAGGCTGGGTTACAAGATGGGTGCCCAGCACATGCCACAAACCACAGCGGTTTCTTTACATCACTGTGTCTGAAAATGATCATGTAAATCCACCACATGTACACACACACACACACATCAACTCAGCTGCCTGCATTTTTGACACCCCTTGAAGGTGCAGCTATAGAGACTATCACAATGGCCACCTACGCTTCATCACTGCATATATGGGACATAGAACTGTTCTCCCATCAAGACATCAACTAGAGTCATGCTTAAGTTTCACCAAGGTTCATGTTTCATGAACAATCTAATTTCCGTAGAAAATCAAACAATAATGGCAGTTCTTATTACTTTTGCAATAGATCAAGTACAAAGAGGGTAGATATATTCTGACCCAAAGAAAATTAAGTAATGCATTGTTTTCTTAAACTAAATTGTTTAATTATATTATCATGAATATGTACTCCAAAATGGCACAGCAGGGTGTCCGTAAGTAGGGAATGCAATTTTAAGAGGAAACAACAATGCAGTAATGCTTCCCAGTTGGGACAGAATAGTTAAAGAGGAAAAACACATGGTATAAAAGCAGACAAACTGTTTTGGAATATAATCAAGAGGCAAATTTGACTGATATATGAAGGGGATGAAATCCAACAGCAAAATAATATATGCATTACTTTTCCCAACATGTTCAAGAATCTTGATTACATTGATTAAGTGCAAACATACCAGAGCTAGTAAGATTGCGATTATGACTTATTTAAAAGAACAAAGTTGAAATGATGCAGCTGACTTCTTTATCTTGGTAGGGGAAGAGGGAAGACAATAGCAGCAAATGCATCATGTTAAGCAAGGATCCAAGGCTGCCACTGACATGGCCCCAGACACCCTGACCTTTAGTGGCGAGACTGGTAAGGCTACTCCTACACTCACAGAGATTTCTGTGGTGTACTGCGAGATTTCAGGGCAGACTGCCACTTTACCAATGGAGTTCCTCTCCAGAAAGTCTCCTTTGCCCCATCCTATCCCCCCAGCCAACCTTTGGTAGGGGGTTAGAGTTGGGATTGATTTCTACAATACTGCTTATTGTATTGCTGTCCTGAGACCCTTGGTAGTGGACGGATATAAATGTTTAAAATGATTTAAAAATATTTTATTCCAAACAATACTGAGTCTGAAGCACCCACCCATCCTAATTTTTCTTCCAAATCTTGGTGAGAACTGTTGAGAAATGTGTATGGAACAAAGGTAGACATAACAGGCATACAGATAAAGAGGAGAGTTAGGACCATGAATGTTAGTTTATATCATTATGCCAGCCAGGTCAAAATGTTCTGGAAGGGATTCCACAACCTCCTTACAAACATTCGTTGTATTTATGGGAAGGGAGCTGTACAGAATGTCAGTATTCCACTCTTTTACAGAATGAAAAATTTGTGCAATAGACTTGCTTACCATAGACAATCTTAGGCACTTAAAACACTGGACA